AAGGAATATACTTAAACACACACACACACACAAATATAAGGCTGTGCATATGAGCCGATTGACGTGAATGGCTTAGCTGAGGAAAGCAGGAGGAGCAAGAAAATTTTTTTCAACTTGCGAGCATTTGCGTATGACCATAATGAAAATGGAAAGAAAGTCAAAAGCTAAGCGAAAAAAAATATGTGTAGATTGAGAAAAAATGTGAGAGCAGGAACCAAGGCTGAAACTACTGGAAATAAAGCAACTGAATTGCGCAAATAAACCGGAAGTGGCAGCATTAAAAAGGCATTAAACGTGCTCTGGCACTGTCTAGCAGTTATTCGATGAGCGCACAATGGAATGAGTGAGATGAATGAGGAGAGAAAAAAATCAAACTTGTCATAAAACTTTGCAAGTTTACTTAGTACAAGAAGAAGGAAGTATAAAATAGTTTCTCCAACTGCAAGGGCAATTTGTTCTTCTACTTCGACAGTAAAATGATTAATATAAAGAGAAAAAAGAGGGAGAGAGAGAGACAGAGAGGGAGAGATAGATGGATAGAGAAAGGGGGAGAGAGAGAGGAGGTAGAGGGAGAGGGAGGGAGAGAAAGGGAAGAGATAAAGGGAAAGAGAGAGAGACAGAGAGTGAAGGAGAGAGAAAAATAGAGAAAGGGAAAGAAAAGAAGATTTCAATGTTGTTTAAGAATTATATTTGATATGGAGACACAACCTAACTAAACCTATCCTATTTTAACTTGACCAATCTTAACTTTACCTAAACAAACCGAGATTCATTTAGCCCTATTCGACCTAATCTAACCGAGTCGTCAGATAGCTTATTGCCATTCTGATGTCAAGACTCCAGTACTACTTCGACCAACATCCAAAATTATGGAAAATACAATTTTTAGCCGGGAAAATCAAGTCCTACAAGTATATTTCTGACTTGAAAAAAGTTCCTCAAAAAAATCCATCGGCCGTTTGGAGACGGCTCAGAATAAACTGTTGATGCCTCCATTTGTTAGCAAATTAACAAGACGTTCACAATTAATTTGGAGGAGGAGGTTTGCCATAAATTACTTCAGCGGTTACGAAGCGACGGTTCTAATCAAACCTTGTCTAAACTAACCCAACTTAAACCTATTCCGTCCAACTCAAACTCTGAAGCACTGTATAATGTCTGGTTTATTATCTATTTGAAGAGGTTTTCGAAGGTACCACTGGACGTCAGATGCGCCTAGTTTTCAATTCTATATTTTCTTCAAAATCTTCAACCAGTAAACATAGAGTGAAAGAGATGCCACCCACTGAAAGGTGGAATGTGCTCTTGCATCCAACTTCATTTGACAATGTGGGGTTTTATTATACCGTTTCTGCTGCGGTTAGACAACAAAAGGTTTCAGAATAACCAGAATAATAAGCAGAATGTGACAAAACTAGACAGCAAGCTCAGAGAAATTTGGGATTAGCAAGTTCCTGCAACTATCAGATAACTGTGGATTTTCTCAAGCGGAACTGACGTTCATATACGAGGTATGAATTCACACTGATATGAACATAGCCAGACAGCACCAAGGGCTATGGAATATGTAACAATCAATTTACATTTGAATCGCAGCAGATCACTTAAAGTGATACCATCATGGCAGAGATTGGGGAGCTCGCTATTCCTACTTGAAAGCCCAATTATTCGTTGCAGGTTGTAGCTTTAATGGAAAGAGAGCTTAACTCGATAAGAAGAAAGGATATATCCAAAATGTCATCTTATATTAGGCATGTCCCCTAATTTTGGATCAAAAAATCGATTTTTTTATGCAGAAGATTCAAACCCAGATACTTGTGAAAATGCGTTGAAAGGGATTTTGCAATACGATGAATAATTTTAACTTTATAATTGCAATGAGCATAATGCAATAAATTAATCGTTTAAATTGTTTTAATTGAGGTTCAGAATGCAGAAAATTTCATGATCTTAAGGCAGTCACGACGATTTTTGATTTCAGTCTACAACAAGAGATTATGGGCTAGCAGTGGTTGCGTCATGTTGAATTTCGGCTATGTTTTTGCCGTTTTAAAATCTACAATAATAAACAAATTTTATAGTCGAAACCGGAAGTTTAAACGCCTTTTCTTTCTCCCACAAAAATTAAAAATTTTGCCTGATTTTTGGAAAATATCAGGGGAGGGTCCGCTACTTTACCTCTTTGGGTCCTTAAAGATTATTAACCGGTCATGAAAACTTCAATATGTCATTGAATTTCTTCATTGAATCGCCATCGTACTGATCTTTGTCGAAAAGAAATAGGTCAATTTGCTTCTGTTCCTGATGAACTTGTAATATCATCCCACAGTTTCTTTACACCGAGTTGTTGATAAGTGCTCCCAGAGAGCGGTGTTCAAGTTGAGATGAAACCCGTTTGCGTCGATTTATCCTTCGTTGTGCAATTTGGGCATCATATTTACACTCCTATTTAGGTTCTTTGCGCTCGTAAAAAGAAATTTGGGTTGCATCACTCTTCATTCTAACACCACATTAGCTGTGACCTATTTGTGACGTCCACAGACTTTCTTGTACAGCGGTGGTGCAAGCCTGATTGTTACGAGGATAACAACCAGGGGCTTAGCGGCACCTTCCTAATTTAGAGTCTGCACATTCCCGGTGGGTACCCTCAAATAATCATCCTTATAACGCTTGCGGAGGGCTTCATAATAAAGGAGGTCTTTTGCATTTGGCTGCAACCAGGTTGGTCGAAAAAAATGAGATCTAATCTAAAGGAAATCTAATCAATATTGAAACTGTGAAATTGTGAAATATATTAATTTTAGCTTATTCACTTTCTATCAAACAGAAATGTCAATTATCCGACTACACATCAGCTATATGCTAGTTGCATACTAGACTATTAAGGCATACTGAATTTCTACTTCTCCAAAAATAAAACAAAATTAAAATAAAATTTATATAATAAATATTTAATTGGCGCTTCGTAACCGCTGAAGCGGTTTTTTCGGCTTAGTTCCCCTCCAATTTGTGGTTTTTGCATCTTGATTTTTTTCTAACAATTGGACGGACCCGCAGTTTATACTTAGCTGCCTCGAAATGGTTTTTTTACGAGGAGCCTTAGCTCATATCCGCAATTTATTTTTTATATAAATTAATTTTCCATAACTTTTGAATGTTGGTAGCACCAGGATATGAACCCGAGCCCTCCGAATTTCAGTATGCAGTGCTACCCACTCGGCTACCGTGGCCACCAATAAGATAAGGTAAACTAAAATAGAAATAAAATAAAAGAAAATAAAATAGTAATATTTTGTTCTATAAAGTAAAATAAAATTTAATAAAATAAACTATTTTAAAATAGAATTAAATAAAAATAAAATTAAAATAAAAATAAAAAAACACAATAAAATAAAAAAAAAATTTTGATTGAATAAAATTAAACGCAATAAAACAAAGATTTTAAATTAAACAAAAATCGAAATAAAAACAAATAAAATTAAATGAATTTACATAAAATAAAATAACATAAAATAAAAATTTATAAAATAAAATTAAACGGAAAAAAATAAAATAAAACAGCTTAAAATAAAATAAAATTATATAAAATAGAACAATCTTAACAATAACAATCTAAACAATAAAATAAAATAATAAATAAATAAAATAATGTTTTAAAATTAAATAAAATAAATCAAATAAACATAATTTAAACTACATTAAATAAAATGAAATAAAAAATAACATAATTCTATTAATCAAAATTAAATTAAAATAAATAATAAAAACTAATTGAAACAATAATGTAAAGGAATATATATCAAAATAAATTGGAGTAAAATAAAATAAAAACGAGTAAAATAAATTGAAAATGAAATTCGGGAATCCAACATTCAGATCTACAGATTTCCTAAAGGGTTATCACTGAAAAATAAAATGCCTAATCATTCTTAGTCATTTGATCGGCAAAAATATGCTTGAAATCTGCTTACTTAAGTATAGGAAGATAATAATGGAGTACATACATTCGTACATTCACACATCGTATTGTTTACTAATTATAAATAATGCGTAGTGAAGAATTCAAATAGAATTTCAGCTCTTTTTTTTCATCAGAATTTTATTCAAATATGTACAAACATTTATACTTATGTTCCTACGAGCGCATACTTAACTACTGGAGCGCTAACATTTGATATTGTATGATTATCAAAGTTATTATATCTTGCACCAGTGCACAAGTAGTAGTGAAATGATTACGTTTTCTGTACCAGTATACATTTTTTATTATAATTGATCCATTATTTTGGCTTTGGTGATACCAATCTCGCGTTCTATTAGTGCGATTGGAGTACGCCGGCCGGCGTTAGGAAGATGATATTTTGCACAAAAAATATGATTGGAGCAGTGTTAATAACTTAACTGAGCAAATGCGAAAATATGCTTTATTCTACAATATTTCCTCAATAAAGGCGAAAACGCTAATCTGGTAGCTGAAATAGTTTTTATGAGAGTCGCAACTGGTATCCAAGCCAGTTCTGATAACCAGGAAGATTTTGTTGTATGTTTAGTGAGATAGACAAGGAATTATGCTGTATATGCCTCAAGAGAAGCTGGTGAAAATCGAGTGCCCCGATTTTTTGCCAAAAGGGACAAAGGTTTCTGTGAAAATGGCTCAAACTCATTCGGCTAAAGGGAACATAACTGACAAGAATTGGACAAACCTAAACATTAGGGAAAAAGCGTTCAATGCAATGCAAAAATAATAGATAATTTTTTTTCTTGCTGGTGTAATTGAAGTGTACATTTTTACCCCGAACTTTTACCAAGCTTGAACTTTTGAAATTAGCTGTAGATCAAAAACTAATCCAAGTCCAATTGCTCTTTGGTTATAACACTGCTGACAATTCAGCCATAAATAACATTTTTTCGAAATCGGACTACTATCTAGTTCAACGCTTCCCCCTGTTAAAAGAATTTCAATAACAAAGGCAAGATGATTTACAAATAAAAATCTCATTTATTTAAATATATTTTTTTTTTGGACTGAACAATGAATAAATAAAATCATATACTTTTATATTAAAACATATTTAACACACATTTTTATAAGTAGGTCACAGTTTATTTAGCGTTTAGAAAGTTTCGCCAATTGGCTTTATGGTCAGTTCGTGTATCTAAAAAAAAAAATAAAACAAAATAAATAAAAATTAAAACAAAGTGATATAATATAATATATATCAAAACATTAACATAATTATATATAAAATAAAAATGGAACAAAATAAATTTAAAAATAAAATTAAAACAAAATAAATAAAATGAAATAAGAAAACAGGATAATTTTAACATTTAAAAACAATATTGAATAAAATAACAAAACTAAAAAAATTATATATATAATTAAAGGAAATAAAAAAAAAATATTAATACACAAAACATAAATTGAAATAAATATTTTCCAAGCACACATCTGAAGAAAGATTGTTTCCAAATAACTCACCTGCACATTTGGTGGTGTCTGCAGACAATAAATTAAAGCATCAGCCACATCTTCCGGTGCAAGTATTTTTGAACCTATAATTTTTTTCACATTTTCGGAAATAATTTCTGTGGAAACCGCGCCAGGACTAATACTCTGTTTGAAGAGAACATCAAAAGAAATAATTTTATTAATTAAAGTTATTAATAAAAATGCAAAAACTTACAGTAATTTTAATTTTTGTCTCATTATTGAGGAACTCCTGACGATACATCTCTGTCAAGGCGGTGACGGCATATTTCGAAGGCGAATATATGTTTAACGATATATTCGGTATAAACGGCACATTATGACCAGCTACGCTGTTGATAAGAAATACATGCCCATCGCCATTCGGTGACTGCTTCATCGAACGAAAGGCTTCGCGTGTGCACCACACAATGCCCAAAACATTAGTCTCAATCACAGCGCGGATATCCTCTGTATTGCCTTCTTTGAGCAAATCACTTGTACGCACAATACCCGCATTGTTAACAAGCACGGATACTGGCCCATACTTTTCCTCGATCTCCTTGAATGCGGCTATAACGTCCTCTTCTTTTTGCACATCGCAACGAATGGCGTGTATGCGATCTGAATTCGAACCGGTTTTTAATTCCTCAACGCGTTCCTTACGTCGTGCCAAACCGACGGTGATCATACCGTTATCGGCCAGGTATTTAACACATGCGGCACCAATGCCCGAACTAGCGCCGGTGACTACAGCGACACGATTATTCCAACGTTGCATTTTGCTTATGTTTGTGGGTGAAATTAGTGAATTAAAATGTTGCTTGTAGAGTATTCTCTAGCTAACAGTTAAAATGGAACTAAATATTTCGACAAAATTCTAGCTTATTTATACCGTCGATTAGAGGCGATCAATGAATGAATTAGAAATAGCAAAGAGTATGGTAAGAGCGTAAGTAATCAAAATATTTGGAGGCGTAGTTTATACGGTATTTCCACGACAGCACAATTACGTGTTTCGCTCTCTCAATCGTAATTCGCACTCCAAAGACATGCCACACAAAATTTCAAGATCGAATCACAGTAAAAGTGGGTAATTCGTTTTTAATTGCGAATTACGACCAAATCGTTGCCTTCTCTAATTCTTATCGAAATTTTATCGAAACAACTGACAAATCAATATTCAAAATGGATAAAAGAGAAACTGTTAAAAAAAAAACTTTTGGAGCTGCAAAAAAATTACTTGCAACTTCTGACGGAGTAATATTGAGAAATTATATAAATATTTTTATAAATCTAATTATGAAAGTACATACATTTAAGACCGAACACAATCATTATGGGAAATGGATTGCCAAATTGCAGGCGAATGTTTTCTGAAAAACAGTTTCAGAATGAGTAGCGAAACTTTTTCTAAATTATGCCAGTTGTTACCTGGGCTCCGAAATGGTGACACTAACATGCGCGCAGCTATACCCCTGGAGAATAGAGTTGCAATCGCCATGTATACGTTAGGCTCATCTGCTGGGTATCGCACTATTGCGAACATGGAGTTGGAAAATCTAGCGTTTTTTAAATTTACTTGATTTCTGCGACGAGTTATGGAAAGCTTTAACCCCAATATATTTGAACAATTTTCCATGGACTCGGGCGGAAAATGAAGGCCTGGTTCAAGAGTTCGAAGCGCTTAGTTTCCCGCAATGAATGGGTGCCCTTGGTAAGATTTTTTTGCTGTGATATACATAGATTATTCTTACTTTTATTTACGATTTGTACACGGTTGTCACATTGAGATTTACCCACCACCGCCACCGATTATTACAATTATAAAGGATGACATTCAAGTGCTTAAAGAGTTTAGTGCGTTTGTGAATTTTTAATCTTAAATTATTTTACGTGTCGTTTTATTTATGCAAGCAGCGGTAGCCCGGGACGGTGTAATGACTCGCAAATATTTCAGCCACCTTCTCTATATAGGCTTTTAATAGACCTCTTATTTCTTCTTCTATTGCAATGAAATTCGACGATGTTTTTTCCATTTCTACACGAATCTTTTCCATATTAGTTTTTAAAATTTTTTAAGAAAACTCACTAATCCTTCTTTTTCTCTTCCAGATGAAGGTGGCATTGGTCTTTCGGGAGCAGGTGTATCCCTACTACTAGACGGTGATGACAGTGCTGGTGTTACCGCTGGAGAAATTATTGAAGACTCTATTTCAATTGATAATGTAGTCGATATTATAGTAGAATTTTGATCTGAGAAAAAATAAAATTAAATAAAATCTTACAAATTTATGTAATTTAATATTAAATTAAAGTTTCTGCTACTTACTGTTTATGCTATCCACTACTAAGTTTTCAGTGTGGTAGCTCTTGAACCGGGCAAGTAATGCCCGCATGGGTTGGAAAAGTCCTCATTCTGAAGGTACCACTGTTGTCCCTTGCAGTTGCTTTTCTTTTCTGTAAATTTTTTTAGACAATATAATATTAATGTAATGCTTTTGTGTGATTGAGATTTGAACCTATTCAAATACATGCATATACATTGCCCATTTTTGTTTTTTGTGTATCGGAAATTAGGGAAAAAATAATAAAAAAAAATCATTACTTCATAAATTTTACAAAAACTTACCTATTCCCTTCATATTCAAATGAAACAAACAAACGAAACCGTAAACTGTCAAACTGCGTGCCGTGTGAATGGGGGTAATTCGCATTAGCAATTGAAAGAGCGAAACACGTAATTGGGCTGTCGTGGAAATGCCGTATTAGTGTCTTCTTTCATGATTCTCCTCTCTTTGGTTTTGATTTATCAGCTGGTTTCGATAAGATTTCAATAAGAATTAATGTTCGTGATTCGCATGACAATTGAGAACGAATTACTCACTCTTACTGTAATTCGCTAACTAAAATTTGTATGGCGAAATAAAGAATTCGGCATGTATTTGGAGTGCGAATTACGATTGAGAGAGCGAAACACATAATTGCGCTGTCGTGGAAATGCCCTAATATGGAGTGTAGAATATTTTCGTAGGCAATATGAGAGAATGAGTCAGCACTTATGCTTATGCATAGATAATTAATATATACCGTAGGTAAAAATAGACTCCTCTGATAATTATTTTGAAACCGAAATTTTCGGTTAACGTGTTCTTTATGGCAAATAATAATAACGCGCAGGTAGTAGTAATATTATGGTGAAATTAAGTTATTGTGAAACAACAAAATATCTACATATATGTATCGCTAAGCTTATCATATATCAAACGTACAACATTTGACAGAATAAAACTTAATTTGAAAGCAGTAAAGAGCAGTCAGCAACTATTTATTTGTCTTCTAATTGCTCTTCTTCGGCGGCTAAGACCGTACTTCGCTCTCTGAGTTCATCAAATTGCCTTAATGTTTTGCAACGCCGAACCTGTTAGCTCTGTTTCATACCAACTTGCCCTGTTGGAAAAATATGACATTTTTAAATGAGCAATTCGTTTTTTCCTTGTTTATTGAAATAAAATTTTTCTTTTTGAAATTTTGTACTAATTTAATTTTTTTATTAATGTTAAAAGTAATTAATTAATTTATTTTTTTCATTTATTAATACTTTAATTTCAATAAATATATAATTTAATTTCTTAGTAGATTTTGGTTCAGTAATTTAAAATAATTTGCAGGATATTATATTTAAATATTAATCATTATTAATAACAATTTCATTTAATTTCAATGGATTATGCGTGCAACCTTGTGCAGCTATCATATCCACTAAGGGATGTCGCTGCGGTCAAGAAGAATATTCGTGACGCATCTAATTTATGGGAAAAGTGCAGTTATACCCGTTTCAGACTTTAAAAACATTTTTTTTTTAACAGCCTTGAACGCTTCAGCATCTCTGGTGACCAATTTATTTCACTTTGTCAGTTTTCAGTCTATTTTATTTTAACAAAGCATCATCATAATAAAAATCCGCTATTACCTATTGCTTCATTTTCTTAACACTTGCCGTGAAAAGTAATGAGAATCACACACTGGCGGTTTTCAACCAACCGTTGAAGCGATTTTTAGACGTTTCTCTTTACCAAGTTGTAGTGCGAGTCTTGCTGTTTTTCCCGAAAATAGCAGTTTATACTAAACCGCCTCCGTATGGCTGACAGTATATTCCCTTTCATGAGTTACTCGCCGTATTAGCTTGGCTGTCTTGTTTCGTGCCAAGCATTTATCGAGCTGCTCAAGAGTTACTCTCGTTTGTATCATTTCCCAAATTATTTAATGTCCCTAATTTTCATTCAGAAATACCTCCAGGGTGTATTCATTATGAGCTAATGCTCCAACGCCAAGTGGGGTACAAGCGAATCGAAACCACTTATTACCCACAGTTATTTGTTCACAGCATACCCGGCTTTATTAATAAAAGTTGGAAATACACTTGGAAAATCTTTCAGTGAATCCTCGCTGCAACCAGTCAACTAATTTTTTGCCTATAAACGTATAAGGAGCGCTCGGATGTTTGAATGTTAATTTTTTATTTCGTGACCTCGGTATTAGTTTCTATCTTGCCACAGAAGCTCTCTCACGACTAACTCTTGCCTGTGTTTCGAGCTCCCTGCTCCACTATGGTGGTCTCGAACCAAGCTTTGGATGTAGGACTAAGCTAGTGATGTATCATGCTTTGTTGGGAATAACTGAACGAATTAACTTCTTGCCAGCCGAAATGTGGATTATGATGATTAGCAAGATTTGAAACTATTAGGTTTCCTACGAGCCTATCACCAAAATATTGGCCAATCATGGTTCGCTGCTCTAGGCGTAAATATGTATATGTAAACAAGAAAACACACCCATATAGAGTATCTCTATCAGCTGTTTTATCAGAATAATATTCAAATATGACGACAGCACATACAAGTATGCACGTGACAGCATATATTTACTATCGATTTGTAATTACACTTTACGCATTCGGACTGATCATAGGCTAGCCATCAGGTGATTCTTTTGGTTACTAGTACTAGTCCCTCATACAGCCCCAGCGCCAATTCTATTTCAATTCATTTTTTTAACATGAACGCGCTGCGTTGGGACTGGTTCTCATATCATCTAGCCTTCATGTAGTGCTTTTGCTTTCAGTTGCCTCATTTTGTCTGGTCTGCGAGTTGAAAATTTTTTCACTGTTGTGCTACTGCAATGGTCATGTCTTCTGATCTCAAGTAGAAACAAATTTTAATGAAAAGGATTTTATCTAGGAATAATAGCTATAATTGGGCCATCATAATAGTCCTTGATTAGAATACGCTTTTATTTCAGATGTAAAAATATGAAGTTTTTTGAGTATTTTAAAGCACAATTTCCAGCTTCAAGCAGATGCGATATTTTCTAGTAAATATCAACCTTAGGCTGGGTTATGGTCTGCGAACTTTGTTCTTCATAACCAGAAAGATGTGTGAGAAATTCAGCACCTTCAGACTACAAAATTCGTAGATTGGATATTAGTTTCTTCGATTATGGCTCTGTGCATTACGACAGCGACCCATTCGACCTCGGTCAGAGGTCATCGGTTAATAGATCGATATACTTTTGGATAATTTTTATGACTAAGAACGCCGCGGCAACATCGATTTCGTCATAAAAATGAATTTGTTGTTTATTGTTTACCATTACGTTGCCCATTTTAACTAGTCCCATTTTAGCCAGTTATATTTTAGTCCCATTGAGAAAATTCACTACCCTTGCATTGTAGCTATGTTTAAGCGAGCAGCACTCTTTGTCCAATATCCCCCACATACTTTTAAGTCTTAGCTTTTTGCTTCCGCGTTTCATGCAATAAGAAAGTTTCAGTGGTCCTTTGCTTAGATTAATAGGAAGACTACACGTCTCTCCGGAAAAAATTAGTTATGGTTTCATTTACTTGAAATTCGGTGAATATTTAGCTTTTTTGCTTTGATGAGCAGGAAAAATACTCTGCACAATTCGAAAAGTCGGACTATTCCTCTCTCCAATGCCAATGGTGAAACCAGAAACGCTTTATTCCCACAAGTATTGAGTAAATAATTTTGATAAAATAAATTTAAAGTAAAAGTAAAACTAAAAAGGGTGTAGTAAAAGATAATATATACGTACTAGTATGTATGAATTTATTTAATTTCTTAAGCAATTCGTTTATATATTTGTTCACTGTAGGTGTTATAACTGATAATGCAAAAGAGAAGATAAGTAAGGAACAGTTCCAATTAAGCTTCAAATAAATACATCTCAGGTCTAATTTCTGGAAAGAAAAGAATTCTGAATAAATTCAAGTTTACTTATGATTATATTTTCAATTAGTCGTTCTCTAATCCATTTTTGTAAAAATTATACAACCTGAACAATTCTCGAATCTTCCTGGGTATACATAAAAAATTTCAAGAAAACAATTTCAGTAGTTTAAAAGGAGCAACAGGGGAACAACTTCTCAGAATAGGTTATTCTCTGATCCAAAGTTTTTCGAAATTGGCTATGTACATAATCTAGTGTAAATAGAACTACGATAAACAAAATTTTTTCCTAAAGCTTGAGTTCTAGTTAACTTTTTCGAAAAAGGTGATCCTCTCCCCAGAATAAGAGAATGCAATCATGTTATCCTAAACTGTCTGTGTACCAGATATAAAATTTTCCTGAATAAGTTATCTGTGTTTATATTATTATAAGCCTTTGTTGAATCCCATTAATCGCACACAAAAAATTTGACCAAAATCTGTTCTGCAGATTTTTTTATATATAATATATTGAAAGAAAATATGATATCACAAAATAAAATTAAACGAAATAATATAAAATAAAATGAGTTAAAATTAAATTAAAAATCAAATGAGTAAACTTAATTAAAATAAATAAAAATAGCAAAATAAAATTTAATGAGATAAAATACCCTAAATGAAAATAAAATAAGAAAAATAAATTAAAATAAATTAAAAAAAATTAAAATATAGCAAAATAAAATAAAATTAAATTNTTAAATTAAATAAAATTAAACAATATTAAATAAAATAAAATAAATTAAAATAAAATAAAGTAAAATTAAGCAAAATGAAATTAAATTAAACGAAATAAAATGAAATAATACAAAATAAAATAAGAAATAAAAATATATTCAAATAAATCGAATTCATTTAAATAAAACTAACTGAAATAAAGTGAAATAATATAAAGTAAAATAAAATAAATTAGAGTAAAATTAAAAAAGATGAAAAATAATAAAATAAATTTAATAGGAAAACCGATAATCGAACAATCAGATCTCCTAAAGGGCTATCCCTGAAAAATAAAATACCTAATCATTCTTAGTCATAGATGCTTGAAATGCGTTTACTTGAGTATAAAAAGATAATAATAGCAGAGAACGTATATTCCCTGATAATAGAGTACAAACTTTCATACATCGTTTTGTTTGCTAGTTATAAATGCTTAGTTGGAGGCTCTCATGATTATATCTACCATTCCAGACCTCGCACCAAGTGACTACGATCTATTCCTATTAATGGCGAATGTTTAGACTGGTGACAAATTGACTTCAAGTGAAGCCAGAGAGCTTGGGTGCCCCGACTTTTTGCCAAAAGGGACAAGGGTTTCTTTGAAAATGCCTAAAATTCAACGGGCTAAACGGAACATAGAATCGGGCAAACCTAAACGTTGGGGAAAAAAGCCGTCAATGCTAAACAAAAATCATAAATGAGTTTTTTTTATTGCTGGTGTGGTTGAAGTGTGCATTTGTTCCCCCCAAATTTCACCAACCATATATCTGAACCTTTAAAATTAGCCGTAGGTCAAAAACTAATTGATTGACGGCGCATCCTTCACACAAGTTATCTAAGTCCACACATATTTGAGCTAAAATGTAAAATACGAAAGTCGGATGAAATTGGGACAGCGCTAACAACGTCATGTTATAGAGCGTGTGAATCGGATGTTCGTTAAAGAAAGAATTATTCGTAAAGAATTAGCTGGACGTTTATTCGTGTAATCTGTAGGTATATAAGAGCGGCGGCAAACACTTCTGTAGTGAGATAGAAAGCGAGCTCGTTGAAGATAATCTTGTCCCTGTTGACCTAATCAATAAGCAATATATTTATATGTATAAAATATACTAATTTGTAAGTAGATTAAGTCATAACGCTTTCCCCTGTTAGAATAAGTTCAGTAACAAAGGCAAGATGATTTCAATACAAATAAAAATTTCATTTATTTAAAAATATTTTTTTTTTAAACTGAACAATAAATAAATAAAATCGTATAATTTTAAAATAAAACTTTGAACATACATTTTTTAACTAGATCACAATTTATTTAGCGCTCAGAAAGTTTCACCAATTGGCTTTATGGTTAGTTCGTGTATCTGAAAAAAATAAAAAATAAAAAAAAATAAAAGATAAAAGATAAATAGAAGAAACAAACAAAAATATAAAAAATTCAAATAAATAACAACAAAACCACATATAACATAGTATAATTAAAAAATAAAATATAAAATAAAATAAAATAAAATAAAATAAAATAAAATAAAACAAAATAAAATAAAATAAAATAAAATAAAACAAAAAAATACAATGCAAAAAAAATTAAATTAAATAAAAAAAAAAACAAAAAAATAAATTAAAATAAAATAATAAATTTAAAAGTTAAATAACCGAAAAGAAAATTTCACCAAAAAAAGGGAATAATAAAAAGTTAAAGAAAAAAAAATTTCAATAAAAAAATAAATAAAATATATTCAAATGAAATAGAATAAAGTAAAATAGAATGCGATAAAATAAAATAGAATATGAAAATTATGAAAAATAAACCAAATATATATCTAACACATCTGATGAAAGATAATTTACCTGCACATTTGGTGGTGTCTGCAGACAATAAATTAAAGCATCAGCTACATCTTCCGATGCGAGAAAACTCATACCGGCAATTTCTTCTTCAGTAGCGCTCATAAATTCCGTCAAAACCCCGCCAGGACTAATACTCTGTTTGAAGAGAACAGCAAAAGAAATAATTTAAATAATTTATGTTATTAATAAAAATTCAAAAACTTACAGTAATTTTAATTTTTGTCTCATTATTGAGAAACTCCTGACGATACATCTCTGTCAAGGCGGTGACAGCATATTTCGAAGGTGCATATATGTTTAACGGAAAATTCAGCACTTGATGACCAAGTACGCTATTGATAAGAAATACATGCCCATCGCCATTCGGTGACTGCTTCATCGAACGAAAGGCTTCGCGTGTGCACCACACAATGCCCAGAACATTAGTCTCAATCACAGCGCGGATATCCTCTGTATTGCCTTCTTTGAGCAAATCAGAGTGACGTGTAATACCAGCATTGTTAACAAGCACGGATACTGGTCCATACTTTTCCTCGATCTCCTTGAAAGCGGCTATAACGTCCTCTTCTTTTTGCACATCGCAACGAATGGCATGTATGCGATCTGAATTCGAACCGGTTTTCAATTCTTCAACGCGTTCCTTACGTCGTGCCAAACCGACGGTGATCATACCGTTATTGGCCAGGTATTTAACACATGCGGCACCAATGCCCGAACTAGCGCCGGTGACTACAGCGACACGATTATTCCAGCGTTGCATTTTGCTTATGTTTTTTGAGAAAATTTAGTGATTTAAAATGTTGCTTGTAGAGTATTCTCCAGCTAACGGTTAAAATGGAACTAAATATTTTGACGAAATTCCGGCTTATTTATACCGTCGATTAAGGACGATAAATCAATGAATTAGAAATTGCAAAGAGTATGGTGAGTGCGTAAGTACTCAAAATATTTAGTCGCGTAGTTTATTGAGTGTCGAATATTCGTGAACAAAGTTAGAGAATTAGTCATGCTTATGCATAGATAATTATTATTGTATACCGTAGGTAAAAATAGACGCCTCTGTTAAATATTTATTTTGAATGCGAAAGCTATTAAAGGCAAATAATAATAAGCAATTGTGGAACAACAACATACAACATTTGAAACAGAACATTTGACAGAATAAGAAGCAGTTAAGAGAGGGGCCAACATATATTTATTTGTCCTTTACTTGCTCTTCTCCGGCGGTTAATTTCATACTTCGCTCTCTGAGTTCATCAAATTGCCTTATTGTTTTGCAGCGCCGAACCTGTTAGCTTTGTCTCATAGCAACTTCCCCTGTTGGAAAAATATGACATTTTCAAATGAGCTATACGTTTTTTTTTTTCTTGTAATATCAATAAATTTGTTGAAATAAAATTTTTCTCTTTGAAGTTTTGTACTTATTTATTTATTTTATTTATGTTGAAATTAATTTATTTTTTCATTCAATGATATATTAATTTTAATAATAATATAATTTGATTTCTGAGTAGATTTTGGTTTAATAATTTAAAATAATTTGCATGAAAAAATTTAGCTCAATTTCTTTGGATAGTGTGAGCTGAGAATGACAGAATAGTCGATCTCCATCATCTAAAATAAAAATAAAAGGTGCTTAGAAAATCCTGAAGGGGGTTTTAAAACAAGTGAACTTGAGTATTGTATGTTTGTACATGTACATACTGGCGCTTTCCAACCAACAATTGAAGCGATTTTCGGGTTTTTGCTTCGCCTAGTTTTAAAGCGAGTCTTGTCGTTTTTCCGAAGAACAACACTTAATACTTAGCCGCCTCCGTGTGGCTGACAGTACACTCCCTTTCATGAGTTACTCGACGCATTAGCTTGGCTGTGTTGTTTCGTACATGGGACGCCAAGCACTTCTCGAGCTGCTCAAGAGTTGCTCTCGTTTGTATCATTTCCTAAATTATTTAATGTCCCTAATTTTCATTCAGAAATACCTCCAGGGTGTATTCATTACGAGCTAATGCTCCAACGCCAAGTGGGATACAAGCGAATCGAAACCACTTATTACCCACAGTTACTTGTTCTCAGCATACCCGGCTTTATTAATAAAAGTTGGAAATATACATATATACACTGGAAAGTCTTTCAGTGAATCCCCCCTGCAACTAATTTTTTGCCTATACACGTATAAGGAGTGCTCGGATGTTTGAATGTTAATTTTTTATTTTGTGACCTCGGTATTAGTTTCTATCTTGCTACAGAAGCTCTCTCACGACTAACTCTTGCCTGTGTTTCGAGCTCCCTGCTCCACTATGGTGGTCTCGAACCAAGCTTTGGATGTAGGACTAAGCTAGTGATGTATCATGCTTTGTTGGGAATAACTGAACGAATTAACTTCTTGCCAGCCGAAATGTGGACTATGACGATTAGCAAGATTTGAAACTATTAGGTTTCCTACAAGCCTAACACCAAAAAATTGGCCAATCATGGTTAGCTGCTCTAGGCGTAAATATGTATATGTAAACAAGAAAACACACCCATATAGAATATCTCTATCAGCTCTTTTATCAGAATAATATTCAAATATGACGACAGCACATACAAGTATGCACGTGACAGCATATATTTACTATCGATTTGTAATTACACCGTACGCATTCGAACTGATCATAGGCTAGCCATCAGGTGATTCTTTTGGTTACTAGTACTAGTCCCTCATACAGCCAAAGCGCCAATTCTATTTTAATTCATTTTTTTAACATGAACGCACTGGTTTGGGACTGTTTCTCATATCATCTAGCCTTCATGTAGTGCTTTCGCGGTCAGTTGCCTCATTTTGTCTGGATTTAGAGTAAGAACCTAATGATTGATTTTGTTTTAATTATAATGAATTTCAGAAAAGTCATTTAATTTTCGCAAACTAATTTCAAAATGGATTGTTTTTGGAAGTGTTTTAAGCAGTTAGACCTTTAATGCTCATGCAAAAAGCATTAGAATTGAGGAGTTAAACAAACTTTCAGGTTCTTCATTGTCATTAAGAAATTGTCTTAAAAAATGCGCATTTTGCTTTTTTCACATCCGTTTTTGAGGTTATAGATGATGTTGAATGTTTTTTTTTTAGTAAATAAGTAACAACACAAATCAAGATAAATTAACTTAATTAATTATTTTCTTTTTTTTTACGACGAACCTCACTTGCGCTGGTGCAACTAAAGGATAATCGAAAAATTCAACAGACCGGTGATCGAAAACCAGTGACAATCCGGACTGCCCAGAACCCGAGACCGATCGTGGAAGGCCGCGGTTACACTAAACAGCTACAGATTTGCAGCTGCCATAAATAACATGGAAGAAAGACAGGGACTTCACTTAATTATTTACAGCTTTCAAAGTTTGTTCTGCATAAATGCAATGAAACGGACTCAAAATGTGTGGATGATCATAAAGCGAGGGTAAAGTTAAGCTCGCTAAGTAGGAATGAGCTATTGAAAACACCTAAGCACATGTTATATTCTTATTCGCCTTGCAGTTTTAATTTCTTCACGCGAATATAAATATTTGCAATATTTTTCTCACTGCTGTGCTGCTGCAGTGGTCATGTCTGCTGATCTCAAGGAGAAACAAATTTTAATGGAAAGGATTTTATCTAGAAAAATTAGCTATATTCAAATATCTCACAAAGATTTCCGTCGGCTTCTCGGATGTTCAACCGCTTTAGCCCTGCAATGAGTGCTGTCTCTTTACTGTCTACCGAGAGACATTCAGTAGCCACCAACGTCCAGCGTGGCGCAAAGCGTTGAGCGCCTTAAACTCTGCAAAATTTCAGCGGCATGTTGTTTGATGATGATGTGCCGTTCGATCGATGGGATTGTGCAGAGGTGTTGAGTTCATTTCAAATTCTATGCCACAACTCGTTTGATTCGTTTCGAATCATCAATTGCAACATAAAAATTTCTGCAATGGATACTCAAATGAAAAGGAGTTTGTATGCGTGTTTGTGTGTGTGTGTGTCTGTGTATGTGTGTGTAGGTGTGTAGGTGTAAGCACAGAATACATGATATTCCCAGTAGACCAGCCTCTACAAATGTATCCAACTAAATACACAAGCAATAAATGCCTTAGGCCAACGCTGCGGATAGCAACCGAAGAGAGCTGGAGGTGGCACGGCTTGGAAGGAAAATTACTAAAATTGGGAAAGAAAACTTTTTAGTGCAGAAAATGTAACAAGAAAATGGTAACTTTGAAGTGCTATCTATTCGTATCCATAATATAAATATATATATATATATATATATATGTGTGTTGAAGAGAGCCTTTGGTTGCTAAGCTTCATTTTGTACTTAAGAAATATTCACAAATCACTCAGGCATTGCTGATGAAAAAGCCACAAATCACTCAGGCATTGCTGATGAAAAAGCCACAAAGTAGTTGATGAGAAAATTAAAATTTTATATATATACATCACATATAAATCCTTATATATGTATGTATAAATTTTTTTACTTGCCGAGAAATAATTGATTGCGGCGCATAATTGGGAATTGATGAAACGTGCGAAGAATTTAATTTGTTTGTAAAAATATAAAAAAAAAATTTAAAGTCTGTAAATAAAAACTAAATAAAATTTCCAATTTTCTAGTTAAAACAGAAATTTTAATTTTCTGATAAACATCAATAATAAAAATTAATACTTTGCTAAACAAAAAACCTAAAACAACACGACACTTTGACAACAACTGACCTGAATCAACGACTTAATCCTACGCTGCGCACACATTCATCTTCAAATTGACATAACTTTAGCGTAGATATTTGTATTTATTACGGTAACTATTTACTGTGCAGTGTAGATTTATACATAGTCATAATCTCGCATCAGTAATTGTAAACAAACAAATCATCTAAATATGTTTGAGAGCAGAAAAAGGCAAAGACAATATACCAAATATGAATCATTACTCTTTATGCCCTCCACACACTCTCTCCCTCTTTCTCTCTCTCTCTCCCACACTCTATTTGACTGTTTCAAGGAAGGAAGTGAGAGAATACGTGCCATTTTCAATAATCCAAGAATTAGTAGGCCAACGTTATGGCACACCTTAGATAAATATTGAAAGATAGAAGATGAAGATATATAAAAAGGCACCGAGTGGCATGTGTGCTTGTGTTAGATTTATTTCTCATTCCCGTTTTTGGTTTTGTTTTTTGTTTTTTTTTGATTTTTTTGAGTGAAATAATCTACTTTGACGATAAGAATAATATTTGTTTTAAGTAATTAATTCCTTTACGCTTTTCTATTGCAGCGCTGCTTGTTTTCGAAGGTTTTTAAAATTTAATTGTAGCGGTTATTACATTTAAATGATTCTAAAAAGATTCTAAAAGAGATTCGTGCTTAGCTCTGCAGCTCGTATTTTTTCCTTCAGCATTGTGAGATCTAAAAAAATCTGATGAAACTCGTTTTTGTCTGAAACCTTCGCAGGTTTCATTAGCGAACGGCTCGGATAGGTCCTTCTCAAACTTGAAGGTGTTCTTGATGAAAATCAATTTCAAAGATGCTTCGGGATGCCAACATTAGGTGAAAATTATTCTGCCATAGAAGGCAGAGTTAAAGTCGACGCGGAGGTGGTATTTGGATTTTGCGCATGGTGAATACGTGGTCATTGGTGGTTTTATAGGGCCCAAACCATACCGATGTGGACGTTTCTCCTTCACACAGTCCTGTGGGTAATTTTGATATGAGCTATTGAAGCGACTTATTTCACGATAATTTTGGGCAAATTGTGGAGTACACATTTTATGGATTGAGCATGCGTTTTTTGTGACCATACTTGTAAGATCTTCGCCTCGATATTTGAATAACTCAGTCCGCTTTTCGCATCTCTTCATCGTCATCATCATTTGCGTATATTTCACTTTTACAGCAATTTATCAAACTTTAACCGCTATATCATCTCTTTGGGTCCTTAACGAGTAACATCCGGTCTTGAAAACTGAAATAAGTCATCAGTCATTAAATCGTACCAATCTTCGACGAAAAGAAATAGTTTCATTTGCTTCCGTTCGTAGTGAACTTGTAATATCATCCCACAGTTTTCTTACACCGAGTTGTTGTTAAGTGCTCCCAGAAAACGCTGGAGACAAGTCTTTCCCTAATAACAATATGGTCTATCTGCTTTCTAGTCTTTTGATGTGTTGACAGCAATGTGGCTTTAGGGATATTTTTTTGTCATCTGATATGATTGGCCGAAGTAGCCCCGTTTGGAGATGTTCCAATATAGAGGTCGAGCATTCCAACAGTTGTGCCGAACTATCCTTCCTTGTACAAATTGGGCATCATATTTACGCTCATTTCTACGTTCTTTGCGCTTGTAAAAAGGAATTTGGGTTGCATCACCCTTCCCTCTAACACCACAATAGCTGTGACCTATTTGTGGCGTCCACAGACTTTCTTGTACAGCGGTGGTGCAAGCTTTAGTGTTACAAGTATAATAACCAGGGGCTTAGCGGCATCTTCGCAATTTAGAGCCCGCATATTCCCGGTGGGTACCCTCAAATAATCATCCTTATAACATTTGGCTATGGCTTCATAATAAAGGACGTCTTTTGCATTTGGCTGCAACCAGGTTGGTCGAAAAAATTGAGATCTAATCTAAATTAAATCTAATCAATATTGAAACTGTGAAATTGTGAAATACTTAAATTTTAGCTTATTCACTTTCTATCAAACAGATTAGACTAAAGATAATCAATGTGCTCAAATTAAATTATTACTAGGTAAACCAACAGCGAAGATCGATGTTCCTCAAACTGGAGGCAAAGCAAGAAACGTAGCAGTCCAGGGCTTTGGTTGCGTATAGTGTCTCTAGTAACACTGGGTGGCAGATGGTCTATATATGATTTCTCAGGTCTACTTCTACTGGGCCTTAGTAATGTCGTTTAAATTGTCTCAAAATACACACAGATCATTATCAGCAATTGGAGAATGAAAATTTAAAAAATTATCAGCGAGCGCTTTCTATTTCTACCCTGTAGTGAAAAAGCCTAGTTGTAAACTTGAACCATACCAACATCTATTTCCCAAGAAGGCAAGTGGTAAATTTTACACAGCGCTATGCCACGAACTGTCAATTATCCGACTACACATCAGCTTTATGCTTACTAGGTTATTAAGACATGCTACATTTCTACTCGGAGGGGTGAACATACTCTGCGCGGAGCGACCACAATTAGAAAACTTAATTCAGTTTTTTGTCGCGAAATCAACCCGAACCCTCCGAATATCAGTATGCAATGCTAAGCACTCGGCTACCGCGACCGCCAATAAGATAATGTAAAATAAAATAGAAATAAATTAAAAGAAATTAAAATAAAATGAAATAAAAAAATAATTAAACTTAATTTAAAATAGAAAAAAAAAATAAATAAATAAAACAAAATAATATAAAATACTTTATAATTAAATAAAATTACACACAGTAAAACAAATGTTTTTTTAAGGTGTACAACTTTGCTTCCGCCGTTTTTTTTCCAAAATTAAAAGCTTTGTTGCGAAAAAGTGCTTACAGATATATTATTCAAAGTATTACTCTTCGCTAGCGACAACTTTCTCCCATCTCTCCAGCAATTTTACGCTATCCACAAAGCAATCCATTTTCCCAATTCTTCAAAGAATTGAAAATGTTGATCTGCCAGGCCTTGTGCCATCGAACGAAATAGGTGGAAGTCAGAAGGTGCGACATCTGGGGAATACGGCGGGTGGGGCAAGACTTCCCATTTCAGCGTTTCCAGGTACTTTTTGACCACTTTTGTGACGTGAGGCCGAGCATTGTCGTGTTAGAGGATGACTTTGTTATGTCGCTGTTGATATTGTGGCCGCTTTTCCTTTAACGCGCGACTAAGGCGCATCAGGAGCGTTCGGTAGCGATCTCCTGTGATGGTGACCGGGTGAACGGTTTTAAGAGCTCGTAGTAAATCACACCGAGCTGATCCCACCAAATACAAATCATAACCACCATGTTTGTCTTCGACATCGAAATCACCATTTTGAAAACGTTGAAACCCCTCCCGACACGTTCTTTCACTCAGTGCAGCATCACCGTAAGTTTCTGAGAGCATTCGATGCGCTTCAGCTGCATTTTTTTTCGAATTCTAACAGAAAAGTAATACCTCCTGCAAATGGCGAGAATTAGACACATAAAAGGACATTTTCGAGCGTGAATAATACGAAAACAAAATCAGCTGTCACTGAAACGGCGATGACAATTCGTTGGGCACTGTCCACACTCACTTTAAAGGCATTATCATCTATGTATTTCAACCAGCCTCAGCCGGTACAGCCACCTAACGGAAAACGGCGGAAGCAAAGTTGTACACCTGATAAAATAAAATAAAATAAATTTAAATAAAGTTAATTAAAATTTAATAAAAATAAATTAATATATGATATAAAATTAAACAAAATATAATAAAATAATATGAAAAATTAAATAAAAAAATAAAATTAAATAAAATTATTTATAATAAAACAGGAAAAAGTTAAAAATAAAATAAAATAGGTAAGATAAAATAAATAATTTAAAATAAAGTAAAGTTTGAATACGTTAAAATTAAATTAAATTAAATTAAACCACGCAGTATTTGTTTTAGCTCAAAATGTTTTCAGCCATTGAGATCAACACCGTTTTTTTATTGGAAAATCATCTTGTTCGAAGATGTACATTTCATAGTGGCCGCTAAGTTAACAAGCCAAAATCGTTAAGTTCAGAAAATTCCTTTGAAAACTTGTGTTCAGTTCTATTGTACCTGCAGGGAAGTTTGATATTAATTCTTGAAAATAACCACTCTTATCGCCAATTAATCTGTTTGGTATTTATGTGGTCTGCTTAAGTGCCGGTTCTCTTATTACGCTAAGAAGCAAAACAAAAAAAAAACAGTGATAATGTTATGCAAAGAAATTCTTTCTCTTTAGTCAATCGCAAGCGCTCTCTTCTACTATTCTCTTAAGCTTAATTAAGTGCTCTCTGCGCGCTACAAATTTCCTGTGCTATAAAATGCGTAACACAAAAGATCAGAACTGTACTCTGTTCTGCGCGTGAAATGGAACGTTGGGCGAATCGTGTTGCTGTGGTCACCGGTGCCAGTTCGGGCATTGGCGCTGCAATTGCGAAATATCTTGCTAACAATGGCATGAACGTGGTGGGACTGGCGCGTCGTAAGGAACGCATCGAAGCATTACGCGAAGAGGTAAAAACGGAGGCACAAGATCGTCTGCACGCCTTGCAATGTGATGTGCGCAATGAAGAAGAAGTCATTGCAGTATTCAAAGATATCGAATCAAAGTTCGGACCAGTCGCGGTGTTGGTAAATAATGCGGGTATTGTGCGTACAAGTGATTTGCTGAAGGAAGACAATTCACAAGATATGCGCGATGTGATCGAGACGAATGTGCTGGGCGTGGTGTGGTGCACGCGTGAGGCCTTCCGTTCGATGAAGCGGCTGGTGGACGGTGATGGGCATGTGTTTCTTATCAATAGCATAGCTGGTCACAATGTGCCGGTCATAAAGAATTTTTCACTAAACATCTATCCCTCTTCGAAGTATGCAATCACTGCATTGACGGAGATCTATCGACAGGAGTTTCTGAGTAATAATACAAAAATTAAAATAACTGTAAGTTTTGTGTCTGTTGTATTTACTTGCATTAAGTCTGATTTTAACTGTTTATGCTCTGCAGAGTATTAGTCCCGGTGGTGTGGCAACTGAAATATTAGGCGAGGAATTGAAATCGCTTGAAAATGTGCCCATATTGAGGTCGGAAGATGTCGCTGATGCTCTGATTTATTGTCTACAGACACCGCCACATGTGCAGGTTGGTTGGTGAATGGCGTTTATTTGTGTTATATTGATTTATCTGCAAAAAAAAAATTTTCTTATAATTTCAGATTCACGAACTGACTATAAAGCCTATTGGGGAGAGTATCTAAGTTTTTGGCTTTAAGAATAATTGACTAAATTTTGTAAGATATTTTCTAAATTTTTATTAAATAAATTATTATTAATAATAAAATGTCTCCGATAACATATTTTTTGATTCTCATTTACCTTTGAATAGACCTTTGAATAGACGGTAGTATATAGCAAATAAGTGATCTCAGTGTGAAATTATCGATAAAGAGAAATCAGAAAATATATTTGAGTTAGAATAACACTTGGGAGATGCTTAAAAATCATGGCCATAGGGTAATTTATATTTGAGTGCCCAATTTGGTCAAAAATTGCTTATGAAAATTGTTATAATAATCTTTAAAGAGTCTACTTTTATTGAAATGCCTTAACGATCCGTTCATTCATATAGCAGCCGCGGCGGGTATTGCTCTGGTCCATTTTTTCTCTCTATCCAACACATTTTAGAATGGGTGTGGTCCTCTATGCCTGCTATGGATACTTTAATTTCGTGTTTGTAGTCGTAAATCGTTTCTGAGTGGTTGGTGTAGTCCAGCAGAGTCAAATCTGCAATTTTGCCGGGACAATTTGACACAGTCGTTTCGGCTAACTTCGAGCTTTTTCTTCGTCTATATTTACAGACCCGACCCTAATACCAACGTATGTCTCCGAGCGCTATTAATCACCTCTTCACATGCTCCGTAAAGCCGATACATTTAACACCCTCTTCCTCCGGTTCGATTCCGTCGGAACAGCACGTTTCCTGGAGCACCCGTTTGAAGACTTCGATGACTTACTTAATTAACCTGTCTCCAAGCGAGGTTAACGAAGCCAATACAACAACAACAACAACGCGATTATAGCCGAACCATTAAGGACGCACCATTTATCTCTTCCTTTGGCTCTTTGACGCCTGTTGGAAATACCACGTTAAACTAAATGTCTGATCCTTCCAACAGAGTGGAGTTCTTCCTCTTCCTGTGCATCCGCCTTCAAAGGCGGAGTGCTTTCATCCATTATTACGATATATCCTAGGTTGTGTAGCTGTTGTCTCTTCACTCACTAAATAATATTAATGTCATCGGCTAACTCGTTCTGCTTATTGTTCCATCGTCTGCGGTCCTAAAAGGCCATGCATCGTTCATTATACAGAATTGTCTGTGAAAATACAAACATAATATACAGTTCTGTCATTAAACTTACCATATTACAGCATATCTCATCTTGGTCACTTCGTTGCTCAGATGTCGGCCAATATGTGCCAAAAAGTGTTCGAAAAATAACCTCAAACAGATCGAAGTTTGCAAAAATTCTCGAGGCGGTCACTTGACATTCTTTTTATTTTAGTCGATCGCATGACCAATGCCACTTGGCTGCTTGCTATTTGCTCCGAATCATTCCTGTAGAATTGTTATTGTGGGAAACTCGTGGGGGTTCTTGAACAATTCCAAAAATGTTCATGAGCCACACAAATATGCAGTCCAAAATGGCACCATTAGAAGTCCACATACATTTGGGTGGATTTTGGCGCTGCCGTCTCGCCATGGAAATCTCTCTGCACATCTGTCTGCCTTTCTCTCTTACAAAAGTTGAATGAACCATTGGAGGCGATTGCCGCGTACAAGAAAATTAAGTAGAACGACGAGCTGTAAGTGTTCTTATGGGAACGAAGAACGATTAGACGATTGTACTTCTAGACAATTACAATATTTTAATATTTTTATAATTTGCGGAGGTTACATGCATAATATACGTGTACGTTGATTGTCTTCCACTCCATTAGGTTTAAGGAAATTTTTTATTAAAACGTCGATTGACTTGAGTTGAGTTGATGAGTTTGCTGATCAGGGCGCACACCGCATTTAGGCCCGTTGTTATACCACTGTGGAGTACTTCGAACATTTTCGTTTGTCTTACGAACGATGCGATTCTGTCTAAACCAGACGTTACTACGTCAGGCAGGCAGTATGATAATTAAAGTATTTGTGCCGTGGGATGCTTGGGGCTGGACAGTTATAGAGGTGGTGGTGGACAGACTCATCCTTTTCCATGTTCCTGCAGCTCCGACAAAAATCATTTGGAAAAGTATCCCATTCTCCTAGAACAAATTCACTTTAGAATGTGCCCAATTAGTATGGCCGTGGTTGAATTAACGGTGAAGCGAGCTATGCGGATTAGAAACCTTGATCTTTCCACGTTCAGCACAGACTGCGACGTGCGTAGAATTTATTGTAAGTAAAGTGATATCTACAGTTGTCTGGGATGTCCTTATGTCCGGGAACCCTATCTAGAAGTCAAAGCAAAGTTATTGCATCCTGTGAATATTTAGAATCAATTCAGTCACCTTCTTCACATATATTACAACAATATATTTCAAAAAGGAGAAGTTTTGAGGACAGTATTATTTATGCCTAAAGAAAAGTATACAAATGATACAAGGCAAATTTATTGAAACCACTCTCGCTATAAATCAATTTTTGAAATTTATAAAAAAAAACACATCATATATGTATGTCAGTGAGCGCAGTAGGTCTTGTAATTTATCTATTTATATAAATCAAAAATAAAATTATAATAAAATAAAATAAAATAAAATAAAATAATATAAAAAAATAAAATAAAACAAAACCACATTTAATTTTTTCTCTCATCATCATTGGGCCATTAATCAATGGAATTTGCTACTTGCACTTCTTTAAAAATCCTCTCTTGGGAACCATCGCACACCCTAAAACCGTCATGAGCAGCATTTTATCCGTAATAAAAGTATTTTGTTTTATTGTTGCTCTTTAATGAATGGCCGTTTATAAATTGAAATTTTTTTTAGTTAAATCTTTAGGTTATACTACAACAATCAAATGACCGCGTCGTCAATTTTTGCAAACTTTGGTCCGCTTGAGATAATTTTCGGCACATGTTGGGCGGTAACTCCATCATAACTTGACGAATGTGCATTTTCAAGTGCTCAAGTGCTAGAAGTTTATCCGCATAAATACAGTCTTTCGCGTGGGCTTACAAAAAATAACCAACGGTGGCAAACCGGCCAATCGCTGACATCGCCAGGGCGAGAGATTACCCAGACGGGTGATTTATTTCGCAATAAAGCTATATTCGCTCGTGTTATGGAGCATAAGGGGCCATCTTTTTGGAACCACATATAGTCCATGCCGTGTTCTTCTATTGCAGGCCAAAAAAATTCGGCTATCATACCACCATGATGCTCCGAATTGACAGTGACAGTCTCGTCGTTTCCATTTTCAAAGAAGCAAGTTCCAACCACACCTCCGGACCAAAGTGCGTAGGTGTAAGTCCAAGTGCAAAATACGACATAAAGTGCCGTAAGGTAGTTCCAGAACGTTTAGAAATAGACACATTCGGGTCTTCGGCTACACTTTCGTGTACAGAGGTGGAACGAGCAGAACGATTATGAATAATATCTGTAACCTTCGAGTCTCTTCAAGTTTCTTTAAAATTTTAACATATCTGTACTCTCGAAACCACGAAACGGATTTAGATATGTGTAAAATTATTGAGTTATGTAAGTCCAGGAATAAAGTATAAACAAATGTAATACAAATGAGTATATATTTATATATATATGTACACATGTTTACAATATAAAATTACAATAAAATATTTATGCTGATTATAAGGTCAGCTCATATAGAAAAAAAATATATATATTTTTTGCCCACTAGAATGCTTCACCCACAGGCTTTATGGTCAATTCATGAATCTGTAAATAAATTGTGAGATTTAAAAAATGAGACAACACAATTTCAAATGAGCATTCGGCACTAACCTGCACATGTGGTGGTGTCTGCAGGCAATAAACTAAGGCATCGGCAATATCGTCGGCTTTTAAACGCGGAAAATGGCCCAATTGAGCACGCATTTGTTCGCTTATGATTTCGGTCTCCACAAAACCAGGGCTAATGCTCTGTAAATAATTAAATAAATAATAGAAAAAAATATTTTTGAGTTATTCAAACGAATTCATTGATTTTTCGTATTTTTTACATTAAAAAAAAAAAAAAAAAAAATTTTTTTTTATCCATTTAACAATCACTTCCACCTACCGTCACTTTTACTTTCGTCTGCTCAGTGTTGAACTCTTGTCGAAACACTTCTGTCAATGCTGTTACCGCAAATTTAGATGGGGAATAAATACTCATTGGAACTTTCAGTACATTTGGCACTTGATGTCCTGCCACACTGTTAATAAGGAATACGTGCCCTTCACCACCAGCAGCCTTCATCGAGCGAAACGCTTCGCGTGTTGCATTTACCAAACCCAATATATTCGTTTCAATTATATCACGTACGTCCTGGGAACTGCCCTCAGCTAGGAGCCCACTATTATGTACGATGCCAGCATTATTTACCAACACCGCCACTGGGCCATATTTGCTTTCGACTTGCTTAAAGGCATCAATCACTTCCTTCTCATTGCATATATTACAGCGAATGGCGTATATGCGATTGCGTGCCTCAGCGGGCACTGCTTGGCGTAATGCCTCAACACGTTCGACGCGTCGCGCGAGTCCTACCACCAACATACCTTTGCTGGCTAGATGTCGTACAATGGCAGCGCCAATACCTGAACTGGCACCGGTAACTACAGCAACACGTTTATGCCAACGCTCCATATTTACGCTTGGTAAAAATCACTTTTGAAATACACTTTTGAAGGTTTCACCGTTCTTGAGTCAACTAAGGGACAAGTACTGTTGGTGCTGGCTTATTTATACCCGTTTTGAGTCTCAATCAATTCAAAATCTATTAAAATGAACGCTCAATTAAATTGCCAGTGAGAAATGCTAATAAAAAATTATAGATAATTATTAGTTACGCGGTTGTAAATAAAAAATAAACTACGAGATTTGTCATGCGATTGAGTGAGTCTTGAGAACAATTACGTCTCGCTTACTTCTTTCCAATAACTATTTTGCCATATCACTGGATACTTATGTAAACATATTAGGCGTAGTAAAAATAAATCCATTATTTTTGAATGAAATTGAATAGTTGAATTTTTTCTATTCTTATAATACGGTCGGACTCGACAATGTCCATGACTTTACCGACTTTATCGACAATTGGCCTTCAACTCCGTGTAGCACTTTTGATATCAAAGTCACTGGAATCAAACCGACACTGTGCACGATTGACTATAACAATATCAGCACACGATTGACTATAACAGTATCAGGACATAAACGCTATCACATTTTCAATCGCCTGGCTTGCGTTTTCGCCCCTATCGACGAAAAAAATGAAATTATATCGTATTTTCTCTTTTTAATTGTTTATCTTTGACGAAATTGAATGAATCAATCACAAAACTGTCCGAAAAGTTCTTCTAGTACAAACTGTTATCATTCTAGTGTCATCTAACGGAGCCCGATCGGACTTATACAACGCGAGATACAGATATAATATATAGCATCATCCATTGAAAAGTAATGGATTTATTTTTACTATACCTCATATTTATAATGATTTAGCAAAATCTTCACGAAGAATGCTAATACGAAAATCTACTGAAACTATGAAACTCTGTATAGAAAAACAATTTTTTAATAGTTATTTAGCTGAAGAGCCGGAAGCTAAACCAAAAATTAAAATGAACTAAAAAAGTAAAACAACACCAAAATGAGAAGAAATTTTAAAATATAATAAAATAAAACAGAACAAATAAAAACTAAAATAAAGTATTATGAAATAAAATAAAATAAAATGAGATAAAATTAAACGAAATAAAATAAATTAAAATAAAAGAAAATTAATTACTAAAAAATTAAATTGAATAAATTAGAATAAAACAAATAAATAAAATTAAATATACTAAACTAAAATAAAATAAAGTAAAATAAATAAATTTAAATTTAACTAATTAAAAAACAAGATAAAATAAAATAAAACAAAATAAGATGTTATATATTAGAATAAAATAAAACAAATTTAAATGATAAAAAACCTAGAATAAAATAAAAGGAAATGAAATAAAAAAATAAAAATATAGATAACATAAATTGAAATAAAAGAAAATAAAATAACATGAAATAAAATAAATTAAAATAAAATAAAATAAAATAAAATAAAATAAAATAAAATAAAATAAAATAAAATAAAATAAAATAAAATAAAATAAAATAAAATAAAATAAAATAAAATAAAATAAAATAAAATAAAATAAAATAAAATAAAATAAAATAAAACAAATTAAAATAAAATAAAATAAAATAAAATAAAATAAAATAAAATAAAATAAAATAAAATAAAATGAAATAAAATAAAATACAATTAAATTAAATTAAATTAAATTTAATAATATAAAATAAAATAATGTTGTATATAATAAAATAAAAAGAAAATTAACAAAATTTTAATTATTAAAGCAAAGGGATAAAGGGATGTTTTCTTGCATACGAACTCCATGTATTCACTCAAATAAATTTATGTTCAACTTCCGGCTTCTAGACCAAATCAATGACTGGCAGTAATAAAGTTGCAGTGAGTATTAGCGAATACTGTATTATCGGCATGCATACATACATAGACGTACGTATATATTAGCAGTTAAATGAATGATTTCACAAATCGCATAACTAAATCCACTCAATAAATTGAGATTATCGAATGAGCTAAAAGAGATTGCCATAGTATTATATATAAAGCAAATATCTCTGTGTACAACTAAAAACAATTATCGACTGCAGCTACCTGCCAGCAGTGAAGTCAACTTAGCTAAACAGCCAGTTGCTTTTGTTGTCGCTTCGTTGGTAATTGAATCGCTGATCAGTGCATGACGCAGCAGGTTTTGTTGATGCTACAAATATGTATTAGGTCAAGTAGCAAGTCATACAATATTATAAAATATGAACCGTTTTGCTCGATGATTGTTTTTTTTTTTGAAGCTAATGTTAGCATTGCGTACTGCCATACGGAAGGCCAGGATTGGAATCCTGGCACTATCAACATCACATCCAAAAGTTATTGAAAATTAATTTAAATAAAAATTAAGTTAAATTTTTTTAACCGTTAATTTGAAAACTGTATTTCTGATTTGTAATAAAGCCTCTTACAAAAAACCATCAGACTTTACAAAAAAGCTCTTGAAGCTTCGGTTGTGCTCACAATAATTTTTTGCAGACAATGCCATTTAAGAAAAAACTTAATAAATTTTTTACAAAGAATTGAAAATAAGTCCAGAAAAATAAAATGAAGTGAAAAGTACGTTTTCTAATATTTATGTAAGATTATTATTTATTTAATTATACAGTAAAATATTTATGTTTATATGGACATATATATGAACATACAAATTATATTATAAAATATTGGTAATTTAAGAAAAAATCTGTGCTTAACAAATCCTCTAATTGCAATAATTATTACGAAATCAATTGACTGCCGGAAAGTAAAATTATTTATTCACATTTGAGTTGTTTGGCCTTGAAAAGTATAATATCAGCGTCTGTTTATGTGTATCTATGCATATGTTAGTAAATAATAATAGCTTTCTACCGGCAAACAGCGTATTTAATAGTACTACATACATATGTATTTATCAAAGAGAGTCATTTAAATGAGTGCTATAGAGAGATAGAGTAATTTAATTAAGTAAAGAGCGAGCATATGATATGTGTATATATGTATGTATATAAGCTTGACTGCAAATAAATATTATACGACTTTAAAGAGCAAAATAAACAGAATGAAAGAGATGACTTCTCTGAAAATTTAAAGAGAGCAAATAAAAGTTAAGTGTGTTAAGTGAACTTGCCAATGCTTGTGTACTGTGCACACTGATAATGGCCAGCGATAAATATATTTATTTTCTTATGTTTATTTTAAGCTCATTTTAATTATGTATAACAGCTCTGCCGTTTTTTCTTTTAAGAGACTAAAATAATAATCGGTTGCGGCGAAGTGTGGTATTTTTAACTTTTACTTAAAATCTGACGGCGTTTTGCTGAAATAGCAAGAAGAATGTAAGTCAGTGAACCCAGAATTCGTTAAAGCCTTCACAAATATATTTTTCTAACTCACTTATGCGTGACATTTTTAATTTCTATTAATTTATGTACGTAAGAAAAACAATTAAGAATCAATAATATTCTAAAAAAAATATGATTAGTATGAAGAAGAACATAGAATATATAGATATAAAAGAATATAAATAAATTTTTGGTACGAGCAATTTTAGACAATTTTTAGCAAACTAAGTATGACCATATAAAAGGTATATTTAAGCATTTAATATACAATACGAGGTGTGCTCAAAAAATATCGCGAATTTTGTATTTTTTCAAAAATTGTTTATTTATTCATGAATATCTATTTTCTCCCTTTCAAAGTGATTCCCATGAGATATTATACACTTGTGCCAACGGTGTTTCCATTCTTCGAAGCACTTCAAAATATCATTTTTTTTTTATCTTGTTCAGCTCCTCCTTCGATGCCGTCTTTATCTCGTCGATGCCGTCTCTCGTAACGTCGTCCTTTCATGGGCCTCTTCAGTTCAGGGAACAAGAAATAGTCACACGATGCCAGATCTGGGGAATACGGCGGCTGCGGCATCATTAGTGTGTTGTTTTTGGCCAAAAAGTCGCGCAGAAGCAACGAAGTGTGAGCAGGGGCGTTATCGTGGTGCAAAAGTCAATTTTTGTTCTTTCACAAATCCGGGCGTTTCTGGCGGATTGCTTCGAGCAAATTGCGCATTACTTGCAGGTAATGTTCCTTATTGACCGTTCTACCCTCTGGCAAGAACTAATGATGCACCATGCTCGGGCGTCCGGCACGCTCTTCGTCGTTCACATCTTCTTCAAAGTTGTACTAGTGTTTATTAACCAAAAGGTATTGATGAGTGCTTCGTTTATTGTTTATGGTCACTACCATCCAACTCGTGCATATAATAAATAAATTTCGATGCGGATTTGAAGACAAAATATAAAATATAAAAAAATAGCAACCATTTCTTTGAATAAAATGCTTTATATAAAAGTTTGGTTTGAAGGGAAATTTTTGCTTTAGCTCATACTTTAAGTAAATTTTAATATAAAAATAAGTTTCATGTCTTTTTTTATTTATATTGCTGTTTTGTATCATAATTTGCAAACCAATTCAGATACAATTTCTGTGAGTAAAGTGAGTGAAATTAGTATTTTCTTGCCATAATTCCTTTGTTGACGTTACAGCTATAATAAAATCTATTAAATTTAAGGTTACACTCCAGGTTTTTTATTGCTTTGCTTTCATGTGGCCTGTTTTTGTAACATTTGCCAGGAACCAAAATAAAAAAAAAAAATAAAAAAATAAAAAGGAAAAATCATCCATTGGCTGCATTTCCTTGATTGCCATTTCGTATGCCAAAAATCGCATCAACGCTGTTTTCATCATTTGTTCTCAATAATCTTATTACCAATAACGCACACACACACAAGCACACACTTTTGTAAGCGGTTTTTTGAAACAGTATTTCTTTTGGTTTTATATGTAGTGGTGAAGATAAGTTTGCGCTTTTTGGTGAATTTATGATATACACATATCCATGCATACATATATTGTCCGATGCAAGCGCATAAGCCAATGAATGAAGACCAATACACTCACAGTTTTGCTTAGTCATGCATATTCGCTAGAAGTTTTGACCTCCTTTGGCACTGAAATATATATATATATATATACATGTGTGTGTGTGTGGGATTATTTCAGTCGTCAGT